ACTTACAGGACTTGACGCATGACCCCAGTACCTCGATGATAATCAGGTAACTGGCACTCATTATCTAAGCCGGCTGGTTACCTGTAACTGGCCTCTACAAGTTCACCACCCGCCGGTCTTATCCGCTCGGGTCTGCATCAGCACTAAGGGTTTGGCTCGGTGCGAATCCGCAAACCCTATTCGGATTCCAGCTACTCAACCTCGTTAGTCTGAGTGTGATAGCCAGGTGACAGTATTTACTACACATGTATTCCTACTCATATTATCGACTGTAATAACAAACGTGATTGTCAGCTGATTTCGCATTCTTCCACTGGCTTATGTGAGCTGAATCCATCTATGTTTGCTTCTTATTAGGCGGGGGAGGGGCACATCACTCTGATTGTTCGCGGTCTTGAGAATCACATTATCATCAACCCTGGACCGATGATCCAATCTGCTGCTTCGCATCAGAGAAAGTTTTCATACTGCTCCCACACCATCCATGTTGTGTCTTTTCTATTCCTGTTCTGGTCTGAAATTTTATTACTTTCTGGCTTGCGGATCACTGTTCCATTCTGTGGAAATTTTTGTGTTCAACTCTTGTAATTTAACCAACTAAGCGAGTGTCTAAGACGGTCAGTTTTTAGCCATGGTCGTCACGACAACCGTCTGCGGGATGCGGTCTATACTGAGGCCTCTCCGTTTCGGTTGTCACTCACGTTAGTTGCTTGGATGACAAAATGACTTTTCGCGGACAAACGATGCAGTGTCATGAGGGGGGTTCTCTGCCGTCTGAGGATAAATCTCTTCTGTGACCTTGAACGGATGCGTTCTTTCTTGCTTAAGCTCCTTGTTGATTTCTAATTTATCACGGTTTCAAATCGAAATGTCCGAATTCAGCAGTGTCTGATCCAAAGACGTCTGCTCACCTCACACCGTTTGCGCGGAGCCGATGCCAGCAATAACTTAGATCGGCCGACTTTGGTCTGTTCAACAAACGTGGCCATTTTCGTCGCAGTTGCGTTTTTCCGAAAACGGAGAGAATGCGGAGGAACAAGTGTGTGTGTGTGTGTCGGAAACAGTGATCGAACGAGTTCATTTCCTGATAATTGTGAGGTTGATGAAGCAGCGCATTGAGGGGGTTCTACTGTGCATGAAAGGAAGAAGGCCTTCGCTGCGGAGTATTTATTAGGAAAATGCCAACTGACTATTGGACAGGGAAGCAAAACTCTCATATGCATCTTGTCTACAAAAACTGAATATCCATCTTCTACTTGAACGCGCCTTCCCGAACTTTTCTGGATAATAATTGACTGTTGCCCAAATCCAAGCAGATGCTACAAAGCGACTCCACAAATTCCGCAATAGATCTCACTTTTCAAGAGACGCAAGAAAACATACTACTCGCATGCCTCCCCCATCAGTAGTATCACAGTTACACCACTGGTTCCTCATTAGGGTCATTTTTGTCTGTGTTACTAGCTCCTGGTGTGCTCCGAAGATTCGCATCCAAAGAGGTAACGATTTTCGCTGCACCCGCGTTTTATGGCTCCACTGTGTATGCTTTACTGTCGATATTATTGATTGGTAACTTCTTGCCTCGTTATCAAGTTGGAGATTAAACCATCAGGGGGAGGGGTTCCATCCATCGTGTGTTCAGGTAAGAATATATCTACCAGCAGCTCTGACGATATGAACACATGAGATGCCTCAATATTTCCAGCCCGATGTTGAATTTCACTAGAATCTATCATTTGCATACTCGAGCCTTCCGGAGAGCTCTGACTGCTAGTTCGCGTCATCGTTTTCTGCCAAGAACCAGGTTCGTGCACCGTACACATTACTCCGAAGAAAGTTCGCTGTTCAGACAAGGGCACTTGCCCGAGGTTGCCTTCTTGTGGTGCTTGTCACGTGTCATAGGCGTGATCGTTTTCATACTGTTCACCGTTGTGAGCAGCTAGACCAAAAGAGGACCTTCGATTTTCGGGGTAAGTGAACAGCACTACTTTCCCTCCACCCGGATGAGAAGACAGATCAGGAAACGGGTCTTTTGACCTCTCTTCAAAGGGATTCATTGAGGCGTAGCGTCTCCATGAAGGGCTTCTTGGTATACTCGATATAACGTTTCTGTCTTTTGGCATCTTGATGAGTAAAAGTTCCGCTTATTGAGCACGTTAGCGTTTGATTCATTTCCATGCGCGGGCTAAGGAACTACCTGTGGAAACCAAAAGCTCACTCTTATATCTGCTGATTCGCCAATCTGTGGTATCTGATGCTGACCCGCTTCTGTGCCTGGTGCCGGAAAAAATACTCACAGAAGGGACCACAATAGCCACATTCCGAACAAACGAGTGCCTCCAACTGCGAGATTACAGCGGTCTCAAGCCAGTTATAGGAGGGACGCTGTCCAACTTGGTCCAATGCTGACGCGCATGGTCTGGCTTTGGTACGAGGCTGTGACGTGCTGCATATTGCGGGGCCGTTGTCTGACCTTGATCAACGCTGATCGCGCTGTCTGGGTCTGATACAAGGCTGTGAAGTGCTGCATATTGTGGGGGCGTTGTCTATCTGGTCAGCATCTAGCTGAGCTGAAAGTCTCAGTAGATTTCGGGCATTCAACGGTTGATTTCAGGAATCTGACCTTCCTGGTACATACCAACCCCCAACCTGCTTCTCAATTTACCCGGTCAGGATAGGTTTCTCACCCTTTATCATCCGAGTATCTGATTTGAACAAAAATCCATCTGCCGTATCGATGTTTCTGTCTTCCGACCATCTCAGAGACAGTCATAGAGCCACGGACTGGGTGAAGTCCGTCGGTAGAACTTCACCGGTTATGATAGCTCTTGTATAAACTTGGGTGACCTCACAATGCCTAAGTCCGCGTGCTTTCGCGTTGCTTGGTAGCTGTGCACTACATCTGAGCGCTTTGATTGGTTGTGAGGTGCTTGCGTGCACTGAATCACTGGATCTTGTTTTTTTCCTGGTAGTCCAAACGATTGGCTAACTCTTGGATCTCCTGTTTCTCTAATCGTGATGGGCATATCTCTCACCGAATTGGCATCGATATTTTGTCTACTTGTAAGCCAGAGTAGTAGTTCAGTCCCCGCGCGATTGTTGTTTCCTCACTGACCTCGACTTTCTTCTCATCTCGTGTCTCTACCATCTGCTTCGTTTTTTCTTTTCGTTGTAGATCGGCGTCGGTTTGGTCCTTGGCACATTCTTATGCGCTCCAATGATATTCATTTTGGCTCGAATGATCACTATGTACATGGCCGATCGTTCGAAGTACGATCAGCTGTTGGACAGTACGGTTGTGGACATTTCTTGGATAAGCATTGCTGGTTGTGTGAGTTTTTGAAACGAATCGCGTTTGTTTTAATCAGTCTTCAACGGAAAACGTAAACGAATTGTTTGAGTCTGTAGTCTATGTGATGTACTCTTCCCATCAACGCTTGGTCGTCAGTTGAAACTGGCGCATTCCGCGCAGAGACTCGATCTCTCTGTCTTACCGTCGCTCGCGTCATCTGCAGTCGCGTTGTCACTTGTTCGGTAGATCTGCAAAAATTCCGTTTGAACTGTTTGCGAAAGCAGTTGCCCTCCCCTTCAGTCAGGTAACCTCTGCTTGATTTTGATAAAGTCGAACCGCTCCCATTTGCAAATCAAACGGTTTTTGACGGGAGACAGTTGACTCTGTCGTTAAGCTGTTCTTCGACGTAGTGCACAGCACAAAAACCGCCTCATTTCTCAGTTAGCACGATATTGGAAACATCTTAGTGCATCGCCTCGACAGAGCACACTACTCATAGGGTTGTTGAATACTCTTCGACAATGCACGAGTGATGTTCGGCAATGAAACAGCGATGTTGCGCCTTATCGTCATTATTAGCGGTAAGCATTTCAGTCTCTGATTGGCCCCAGGATGGGCGAAACCGGTCGGGGGCTGTCTACAAATTTTCAGCAACCTTATGTATTACAAAGATATACATGTATCGCGATATCCCGAATATCGCAGCAACTGAAACATGAGGCGGCTCGGTGCAACCTAGTCAGAAGATACTATAAACAAGAGATTCAGCTGGGTTCCAGATGAGTTTTCCGTCAAAATGGGTGAATGGAAGTAGGTTTTTATAGGCTAGACTCACCAGTAGTCGCCTGTCCAAGACTGAAATTTGCCACTGATGTTTCTTTCGCCACTCAAGAGTGAGGCTTTATCTTCATGGTAATCCGAGTCGCTGGGAACGTCGAGGAGTTTGAAAGAAGGTCCACTGCCTGTGTTCCAAATGACCTGGCTGACTGGAATAAACGATATTTTGCAAGGCATTGAGGATCGAACTGTCGTAAGGTTTACGACAGAGCTAAAGCAGGTTCTAATTCTAGAGGGAGCTGCTCATTGTACTTCATGCCCAGATTTCAACGGTACACGCTTCCCACTGCAGTCTCCCATGCTTCGTTTGTGGTCATTTTTCGGTGGATCCCCATTAAGCCTCTTTCGGGTTGAACTACCCGAGAATATCAAACATCTTTTCGGATGGACCCAGTTTTATGGGTCCGCACAGTACAGTGTTTTTTAAACGAGCTGGCTATATCCTCCGATCTGGTGATCCTCCATCGCAGTACGATGGTACTGCATACCTCATTATAAAGCCGCCTTGTTCACCTCTTCGAAGTCATCTTGTCCACTTGCCCGTCACGCAGGTTCTGTGCACAACATCGGGAGTGAGAGAGACGGCTCTATTCGTGGCTAGTACCCAGCTTACTTGTCGTTCAAGGCTGTAAGAGACGAACTCATCCGGACTTATTTTGTGATATAATTTCCCAAGATATCCATGTGGAAACCAGACAAAACATGAAAAAGAATATTACACAGAGTAGTTAAAGTTCCGAATGTCGGATTTCAGGCAAACGACCAGCGCGTGCTCACTTCTCAAAATATTCATATATATATATATATGCCTACTCATGAGAGTAGTTCGAAAAATCACAAATCCCGCTAACGGACGATCCAACGCTGTTTTCAACCGCTAGCATTGCACTTTCTTTTCAAAATCCTAGCTTGACAATCATTTGATTGATTGTTTTCTCTACCAGCCAAGGTCTACTTTGAATCAGGATGTTTCCGGTAGTTTTAAGCTGTTTCCCGATGCAATTTACATAAAATTCTCTCGTGCAAGATTATTGTAATTGAGACTCCGTGATATCAGTGAAACCAGTCTCAGGAAACGGCAGTAGGGAATTTCGAACCCGCGTCCTCCTGGCTAGTAATCTGAACACTTAGGTGCTTGACGACGAGCGGCTGATCAGAAATGTGATGATCTGTCACTTCGACGGAATATAGTACCGCAATTTCGAACCCGCGTCCTCCTGGCTAGTAGTCTGAACACTTAGGTGCTTGATGACGAGCGGCTGATTAGAAATGTGATGAGCTCTCACTTCGACGGAATATAGTACCGCCCGACCTTCGGTCGCAGAAACCACATCACGTGGTCAACTATTGACTTACTCCTTGAGTGATGAAGGTATTACTCGTGTTGCGAAATTATTCTGCCTCTGCGACACTTATGAACTGATGATAGTGTTGGTCTTTGTTTTTCTGGGAGAAAGAGACGGAGGATCACGTGTATATGTTTTCCACTAGACTCTTTATTTAACCATGTTCTCCAACATCATCCTGTGCATAGTTCTGGAAGGTGTGATCAACCCGTTTGGCAAAACCTACTCTTTAGTTCTTCGTTCGCATTCACCTGGACTTTGATTGATCGTCCAGTCTTCCCTCCCATCCGGGGACTGAAAAAGCCCAGTGCGACACTGGATGAATAAGTATCCATAGTATAGGACCTGTGATACGATCGAACCTCGCACCGTGGATCTTTCCGGATCAATAACTCAATGACCTGTCTGACAGGCAGTCTGGTGGTGTTCCAGCCACATGTGAGCAATACGGCGTCATCACCCACATCGTACATCGTGGCCTGGTTGCCATTGACCGGAAGGTCGTCGGTCCGAAACTCTGAATTTCGTGAAATGTGCTTTGCCGATGATTCTCAAACAGAAAGAAGTAACTGCACTGTGCTCTTCGGTTTCGCCTCATTGGCAAGACCAAATCCCCAAATGCAGTTCTATCGAATTGGATTTTACGGCACCTGTTGAAATTTTCTCGTAATCATGTGATCCGACATCGTGCATACATCACCCCTACGAAGAGATTTTGCCTCTTAGGAGTATACTGCGTGCATCGTTTCAGAAGGGCGTGGTACGTTTTGCTCTTGACACAAAAGCTTCGTCAGGCCAAGTGAACAGGTCACCCGATTGGCCAGGTTTATAAGACAGACGGGGAACCAATCAGTTAGTCAGTCTTCTTCAGATTATCACACTGGATGAGTGTTGAGTGTCAATTAATGGCTCTTGTCGGTTAGTGTGGTTGCCAAAATCTTGAATTGATGGGTTGGAGCAGTTTCAACTTAGTTCCGGTCGGTTTTTGTTCCTTGATCTTCCAATTCAGGGTGCTTCACTTGGTGATTCACATCGGGTGCCACTGGTGCGTTTTTGTTGATCTTCGTGGGCATATGAATGTTGCGACAATTTAGTTGAATGGAGGGGAGGTGCGTAAGGTTAACTGGAATCCAGATGATAACTACTCTTTCCTCGGATAATCGCACACCAACACGTGTTAGCTCGATTGACCCAAGGCCGTTCTCCACACGCTTACCAGTTCCACGCCTTCTATTCTGTTAACACTCGAATGCTTGGCGATTTCTATCGTCTCCGCTATCAGTCTGTGTGAAGTGGACCGTAGTCCTCACCTCAAAACCCCAACATTCTCTGTCCCGTGTCCAGTGCGTGTTCCGCGTTACTGAGAAACTCGGCAATCGTGGTGTGTTGCGCAGATACTCCAGGCTGAATGCCATTGAGTGTATTACGTAACTTGATGACGCAAATTGACAGTTCCGGGTTCCTGACTCGCAAGTTTCGCCCTCAAACTTCTACGGAGGTTTCGCAGTCGTTTCTGGCTACATTCGGTCGCTTGCTGTTTCCCTGAATACATTCATAGTTGTCCAATCTTTCCAAAAACGGACAAAGATCCTTCGTTTCAGAAAGTAAGTATACTCGGATAAACCTGATAAAACTTGTAATTACAATAACACGTCGGAAGAGAGGACACCAGGGGGAGCGGATTTTCGATGGCCCTTCCCAAGAGGTTCCACACCAATTCCAGATCGCGTTCAACATTTTACCGGGCTTACGTTTGAGGAACTACCATGCGCAATAATAGAAAATCATTAAAAAGAAAGATTATCGCTCGGCTGTAGCACCCGCACGCCGCCTAGTACCCATACCATCCAAAGGAAGCACGAGGACGGAGGTAATGCCAAGTCGCCCAAATCTAGATAGAGATAGCCGAGAAGCAGATGCTGGGTTCGAACCATGGACCTTTCATCAGTAGTATCTTACCTTGGCCATACTTCTATTCAAAATCTTGTCATTCCGTTGGCTTTGTCTCTTGAATCTTCATTGTTCGCAGTGCAGTGGCACACGCCAAACATGATTTATGGACCACTAATTGCTAGATCAATCGTGGTGAGACGGAAAACTGTGGATCAGGGCTGCGAGTGGTGGTATCTTTGCCTTTGTGGATTCCACATGTTACGCTACGCAGAACGTAATCTACCTCGTTACTGTTTTCATACGAAATCTAGTTTCTTCCTCCAGAAGAGTGTATAAAGTTCTTCCGTTCAGACCTACCCCTCATCACCGTCCACAACGTAACATCAATGTTCAACGATGATACTTCGCTGCCGTATAACCATGATTTATCTGAAGAAAAGAATAAAAGTGGGCGGGGAAGGGACTTGGTGCTATCCTACCACAATAACTCCGAGGTTCATACACTTCCAGCTACTCATTCAGGCAGTCTGGACAGAAACTGACGCCACAAAAGCCACTGACACCAATCAGCAGTCATATATTGCAGCATCTCCAACTGGGCGCAGTGGGGATTACGTGGTCCCCATCCTGGTAGGCCGGTCGTTCCCACAGCACCCAGACTTTTTTTTCATTTTCCTGTGTCATGTCAAATGTTAACCACCCCTCTGCTCGCGCCACTCTTAATTGGGTGCGGGAAACGGCACTGTCTTCGGCAAACAATGGTTCGGCATACGCAACACATGTCCTAACCAACGTAGCTTATGTCGCTGGACACAGTCCTCAGTGGAAGTCCCCGTTGCACAACCCAAGACTCGCTTTCTAAGTGCCTCGTTGCGGATTCCCGGACACCGACAACGGTTGTCGAACACCTGAAGACTTTTCAGTTCCGTTGCTCGAACAGGCCAAGTCTCACAGCCATACAACAAAACAGCCCGCACTGTAGCTTGATACACACGTCCTTGTGATTCAGAGATGTACCACTTTGACTTCATAGGTGTCTCATTAACAAACGCGACCCGAGCGAATTCGTGCACATTCCACAACTTTGAGCGCCTTCCCCTGGATTGCAAGTGGCGTGTTCAGTGGCTACACGTCCACGAGCATTACTTTACACCATGTGGGTGCAAAATGCATACCAAAGGATCGGATGACTTTGGTCACTTCATCCAACAACACCTGCGCCTTGTCCTCTTCTTTGAAGACGAGAATGGTATCATCCTCCAGATTGACAAGGTTTTTTCGTCACAGGCCATTTGAACACCAGGATCTTGAAGACCTTTCGTCGTTCTTCTCATCGTCTCATTGATCGTGAAAGTAAATAAGATTGGAGACAGTGGGCGCACCTGACGGATACCGCCTCGTGTACGGAAGCTTTTGGGGAGCACCCATCGCCGCAAGTCAGATTACGTGCTACTCATCAGCATACGTCTTCTGGTCGTTCGCTGAAGTTGATCTCACGTTTTGTTGTCTCAACAGTGTTTTGACTAGAATACTGGCGGAATTGACAGCAAAATCAACCATCCCACAAGTCGTAAAACATGAAATCTGGTTTGCACACAACACACTACTCACAAGGTTGCTGAAAATATTCCGACAGCTCATGATTGGTTTGGACCTGCTTGGGACCCATCAGGTAGGCACAGTCTCCAGGTTTCCGTCATTCTTGTGTTCTACTTGAACCTAAATTGAGCGAAGTTCGAAGAATACACTCATATTCTTAGCAATTTAATTTTCACGGGGAAGTCACGTGAATTCCAACGAATGGCAACTCTGCTGTTTGGTTCTAAATATGAAATTTTCCCTTCTTCTCTGCCTGTTTTCACTCGCCCCTTAGGTCTGGACTTTGTTCATACTGCTCCTGAGCCGCAAAGCATTTCGCGTGCCTCACCGCTTCACGTGTTGTTACCTGCTATGCATAGTGCTGTCCTGCTTTGGTGTTGTGCTTGGACACTTTCTAAATCGGACCATGTTTGATGCCGACGGCCGTCTGATTCCAAACGGTAAGTCACTACTTGTGTTATATCTGCTGATTCGCCGGCCTGTGGTATCTGCTGCTGACCCGCTCCAGTGCCTAGTGTCGGAGAGCAAAAGACTCACGGGAGGGGACACAATAGCTATATTCCAAAAAAGTGGTTGCGAGAGTCCGAGTGCGTGCGAGTGCCTCAGGCTTTTTATTGGAAGGACACTGTCTGAACTTGGTCCAATGCTGACGCACACGGTCTGGCTGCGACGTGCTGCATATCGCAGGGGCGTTGTCTGTCCTTGATCAACGGTGACTCGCGCTGTCTGGGTTTGATGCAAGGCTGTGACGCGCTGCATATTAAGGAGGCGTTGTCTGTCTGGTCAACACCCAGCGGAGCTGAAAATCGCCGTAGATTTCGGGCATTCAGTGGTTGCTTTCAGGAAGCTGACCTTCCTGATAGTTAGGCACGAAATTTATCGTCTACTCTCGTGGTACGGTTGACCACCCCCCCCCGGTAAGGCTGTCTAACGTAACCGAACAAAAATTTCATCTCCTGAGACACTACATCCTCATGGAAGTACAACTGCTGCCACTGTGTAGCTCTTGATCTGGAGGCTATCGATCTGTCGGCTGGCGGTTGACTTGCAGACGTCTCAGACTAGGAGATATGATGGTGACATCCTCTCTTCCGGTGACCAAATGTTTTTGTAGGTTGATTTCTAAGCTCAGCGAACAGACCAACAACCAACGAGGATGACTGCTTTTCGGAACGGTTTTCTGCGTGAACCCTTCTTCTAACTTTATCGATTATATGGACGCTCCCAATGTGAATCAGTCTTGGACGAGATTTTTATTTACTGTTTTTTTTTCACATATATTTTCCGAACGCACAGTGCTATCTAGGACTCAGTTGTGCCAAGTTGAGATTGGAGTGGCTCCAAGAATCTCTGCTGCCCTTGACACGAATATCGTTACCCAGTTTCTGGATTCCGTCAATGAGTTAGGATCCGATCTACCCTCAGTTTCTGGACCAGAGACGTTAGTGTTGCGTGTAGAACATCTTCAGAGGCTGTTTGACCATCAGTGCGTCTAAAGTGTTGTGCGGGTCCGGTTGGAACATCAGAGGTATTCCAGATGGTCTTCAGGAAAGTCTAATCTTCAAGGATAGCTCGGCTGGCCACAGGCTACGCTGATTACTCCGTATGCCTCCTAGAGTCCTCTTTGTCCAGCGTGGGTTCATATTGGGACGAGTTTGCTAGTCTACTAAGTCGCGTTGGTAACTGCCCCATCCCCGGATGGGTGCCGGAACGAACCAATGGCAGGTGACCCAGACCCGTCGAGCTGTGCCACGCAGCTACTGGTTGTATTTTCTCAAAGCCGCTGCCTCCACTGCGTATCTCTCACTAACTGCCATACCAGACAACCAGTTAACTTTGTCATCAGTGTGCAGTTTGGTCGGCCGCTTCCAACGCTTGGCTCCCATACCCTCATTCTGTTCATCCCCTGTGAACGAAGCTGTAGCAACTGGAATCACCGCACTTTGATGCACAACAGCCTTTGAACAGGAAGATGGAACTGAACTGAACCCCGGGGGATTCTCAAATTCGGCCTTGACTTTCTCTCTCTCTCTAAGGGGATTTCTTGGTAAAAAAAATGGACTCGAAGCATGGCGATTTCTCTCTGAAGAAATCTTTGCCCAAAACCAACCAGCCACCATGTTGTACTTTTGAAGGTGTTGACAACTAGCAGTTGAGCATCAAAAGCCTATGTCTACTTTTTTTCGGTCAGAGCTTCTCGAAGCCTCTTGTGTCCGTTCCAGACTGTCAGTCATTCTAGCTCTTCTCTTGACCCTACCGGAGGCGCTCTCCTGTGCCCCAGGATCACTACAACCAAGCTCACGATCACTCTTTTGTTCACTTGGATGAGCTAAGCAAATCTCCAACTAGGTAACAGGCAGATACGAGAATCGGTATGGCTCCGATTACTAAACTTTGTAATATTGTCCAAGTGCGAAAGTGGCTTACCACAAGCTTTATCTGTTCCTTAGATGGCTTCTTGAACCAACCGGCGAACGCGCTCCACTACCTTCAGTTCTCCGTGTTTTTCATCGGCTGTACGGGGGCGCGTGTCTGGACCGCTCTCATCGCCCTTTCTATGTTCCTGGAGCGGCTTCGGAGCACGTGTTTTGTGCTGCGCAAACAGGGCTGGATCTATCTTGTCGGATTCGCGTGAGTTTACCTGCTGCGTTAAGCGGTGTGCGCTCTTAATTGACTCAGTTTGTTCCGCATTTCGCTGGCTTTCATCGATGCTCTCTAATTGGCCGTTTCTTAACTGTCCAAGCAATAGGTGAATGCGTTTTAGGTGAAATCCCTCCAGCCTACACTGCTCCGCAAGTCCATTTCTGGGTACCACCTGCTTCTGACCTCTGTCGTCCATTTAAGAAAGTGTCGACCATTCTTTGCGTTCCTCTAGGAGATAAACGAAAACAGTCCGAGTGACTGCCACGTGAGCCTTCCAAGAGTTTTGAAGAATTCTAGCTGCTTATTTCAATGATTCGTGCAAGATAGACACTCCCGTTGGGGGCAAAAATACCCTAATCTCCAGGTGATCCTTGTTCGTGGGGAAGGGGGCCACACTGAGGACTGAAAACTTATCCCATTTAATCTTGTCCTGACGATGTTGCCTTTCATAAGTATTCTGTGACCGACTGTATACTTCCGTTTTTTTTGACTGGTAGTCTCACGGTTTCCCGAATCACTTACTCCGCGGTCGGACTAGAGCTCGTCTGGTGCCGGAGTGTTTCCACCTTGTATGTCTGATGAAGGCTAGTCCTTTCCGCGGCGAGTGTATCCGTGGTACAACGTGTTATAATCTAATTACGGTTAACCTGTCATGCATCAACCGCTGAAGGGACTGATCCCTCCACAGAGTGTGGTAACCTCTCACGTGCTTATGAAATGACCCTTCTTCTAACCCTGCAAGAGAGGCTTTGTCCATGGAAAGTCTAGAAGGCTGTTTCTCGACGGTGTCGTCTACACAGCTGATACGCCCAGATAACGATAGCGTAAGTGCACTTTTGTACAGTTGACCTTGAATCGGTTTTCCTTGATTAAAAACTGGCTTTCCTTTCCGCCACCCAATTACATTCCATACCTCCCCATCTATTTTGTTATTTCTTTAGCACCCCCGTCCTCGTGACGAGCATCTTACTGTGCACTTCATCTAGGCAACGAATCAAGGATATCGATCCGGTTTTCCAGTACGGTCTCGGACAGGTCAGTCTCCGAGTTCCAACGTTCAATGATTGCCAAGATTCCTTTCTTTCTGTCGTGCAGGGACTTCTCTCGATAACTGACTCGGTCGTTGTGACCACAAAAAAGTCAGAGCTACTAACAACAATGTTTCCAGAAAGGTCCTTTTCATTCTTCGATTGCTTCTGGAATGTACCGTGCTTGTTTTAATTGTCTCACATAGTCTTTATTTGGACGTGAATAGTCTGACGTCTTGATGACCGATAAGTGAAGCCACTGTGCACTGTTCCATCCTTATTGGCAGTACGCATCTGACGGACCTCAGAGAGTTCCGAACCGGGAAGCTCCGTTAGATACGTGATCACCTTTCGACTAGGTGCTCGATCGATGATTTCTCAGCTGGAAGTCTCGGAATTTCATTCGTGAACATCAACTCGTGCGTATACTGCAAATTGAGTTGATTTATCGGTAGCTTCGACTAAAACTCACCTGAACGCCTCCTCTACGGTGTTGCTCACCGACCTTTTTGGTGTACTGAAAACCTCGATGACTGTTAAACTGGCATTCCAGTAGGCCATCCTGAATGTTTCTGCACGGCGATACTCTTGCCTGAACGACGGTGCAACGGAAAGATAGGTGGACCACATGTTTCGGCAGTCCCTCCAATGGAGAATGCCACCATGCATTGCTTTGGATGGGAACTCCTGTTCAGAGGTGACGGCTTTTACTAAATCTACTCTCTGAAGGGAGGGAACCATTCATACGGGTTGCTCTGAAGGCGGCTTCATTTCAAAATATCGATAAAACATGGTTTTCACAACGACACGTGTACTTGCGCGCACAGTACTCGAAAATTTCCATCTGCGTGACTTTTACAAGACGACTTTTTACATTTAGAAGAGAAGCATAATCTTTTAACAGTATACGCTACTGACGAAGTATGCGAGTAGTAGTGTCTGGTCCGGTGTCCAAGCTCCACCCCCGCATCTGATCAAAGGTGGATGCAGATAGTGAAGTTGTTGATTAATATTTGATTTACGTCCAGGAAAGTTCCGTAAAACGCTTGAAAATGTTCGCTTTTCATAAACTCCATGCAGGTGAGATATTTACTTCCCTGTCCAGCGGCTTGTAATAGTTTGGTTCTTGTTTTCCAACAAACGATTTCGTAATGAAGACTGTTCCTTATCCTGTGCATTTTTCGTTGAGTCATCTGTCTACTCACTAACGAAGTTGATTTGTATCAGGTGTAAACTTGGATATGACACACCCTTGTCTTTCTTTCAGGTGCTTTAGTTACTTAGGGGTAGTCCGCTTGCCACATCTGCCAAAACACCGATCGTTTCCGACAACCTTCCAATCACTAGCAGTTGGGCTTGGTAGTTGGTACAGACGTTGCCAGACCTCAAAACGTTCAGCCATACCAGGTTAATCGATTAATTGTCTTAACTACATATCCTCGTAGTTTTATCGTACCACGAGCGCCTCAGCAATGTGAGATCTTTCTTCCTGCAGGATGTAGACTGATCGAGGACGTGATCTCTTGTTTGGAGGTTCCGTGCTATCGATCGTGTTACTACCCGTCCGCCGTCCATGAGAGTGAACACCATGTTGACGGGACCTTTCAGAAAAGGTGGCATCTTGTTGAATGAGCCATTCAATACAGAATACTTTGGCAGATGGTCCGACTAACTGCATGGACTGACCTAGCCAGTGGCCCAATACGCTTTTGACTTGTTGTTTGACGGAATCACTTGACTACCTGTGAGCTGCCAGTCTGATGTTTATCAGAATAGTCGTCGGACCTTGCGGAGGAGCTGTTAATCGATTAATTGTCTTAACTACATATCCTCGTAGTTTTATCGTACCACGAGCGCCTCAGCAATGTGAGATCTTTCTTCCTGCAGGATGTAGACTGATCGAGCACGTGATCTCTTGTTTGGAGGTTCCGTGCTATCGATCGTGTTACTACCCGTCCGCCGTCCATGAGAGTGAACACCATGTTGACGGGACCTTTCAGAAAAGGTGGCATCTTGTTGAATGAGCCATTCAATACAGAATACTTTGGCAGATGGTCCGACCAGGTATGATCAACAATACTAAAAATTACGGAGCTCAAGGTAGCTCCCGCGGTAAGGTCCATGGTTCCAACCCCACCTGAATATCTCGACTGCTCCTGTTTAGGCTTGGTCAACCTGGCAGTATTCCAGCCCTCGGGCATTTGAATGGCGTGGTAACTGGTTATTAAAAGGGTGTTACAACTTAGTGATTACTATTTATTCAGGAATAATTACACAGCCTACAAACTCAGGAATACACAATTGACTCGAATCTTACGAAATTCGTGCAGTACCTCATCTCACCGAGTATTGGTTGTTCTCTTTCCCAACCGGTCTCACGATAAATATAGCTCATCGTTCCACCAACTTTTCTCCTTTGTGATGTTCTTCCATATTGATCCCAGTTTCATATTCTCCCAAATTTCACAAATTGTTCAGCTGATTGTCTCACTGGTCGTGTTGCTGGTGAGTCTGTGTGGAACTGTGCTGTTCATGATTTGTTACGTCCGTCTGGGGTCCGCGGAGCGAACTACGTCCCAGGCGCGTTGTTCTCTTGTGGTGAGTTCTTCCAACTCGAAGTATTTTTCACCTTTTTGATATTTCGAACGTGTGCAACTCGAAAATCAGTGACCCAGGGGGCAAACTGCCTGTTGACGTTATAGTTGGGCCCCTTTTCGGATAACAAGCAGTCGTGAACGGCAGTATCTGAATCAGCTGTGTGTTTGACATCAAAGGTAGCCTAACGACGGCTGAAGCGATCTGTACTCAAATTCTCAGACATCAGCTGTGTGCCCGAAAACGTTCTGCTCAGATATTGTCGCTCACGTGATCCGATTATCGCTTCCCATCCTCACGTGACTCTCGGTTTTGGCGACTAGTTTAACCCTTTGTGTTATTGATTTTTATCTTGGCCCAGTCAGACTCGGTTTTGATTGGTTGAATACCTATATATATATATTTGCTGACTGGATATCCAAACAGAGATGCATTGTCTTCNACGAATGAAGTTCCCGTCTTGACGGGACAACCTTATCTTGCATGGTCTTCAACTGTTTCGTAGCTCTGAAAGCGAGTTATTGCTAATGTTTCCGTCTGCAATATCTCGGCCGGTTGTCCAGATCGATAAACGGCTCTGATTGGAGAAGCTGACATGACACAGTGGGACGACCGTGTTCAAGAGTCGTGCTGTTCTGATGAGGACTTAGTAAGAGAACAGGAAAGTTCCGATTGCTTCCAAAAAGGTGATTTCTCTTGGCGAATGGTTTGTTAAACATGAAAGATCAGAGTTCCGAGTATAGCTTGTCATTGTAGCTTTGAAAAAAGTGAAGACACGATTACCGCTTCCCGACGAGGTGGAATCTAGGTTGAAATTTCTCGGTTAGGTTTGGTAAAGCGAAACCAAGTTCACTAATTTCCTCGAAACTGAAGTGAGGAGTGAAACCTAGCTGGAAAGGAGCGTACTACAAACCTTGCAACACCATTCCACAGTGGGACAAGAGCCCAAGAAAACTCAGTGGTTAGGACGCGAAATTACTGATCGACAGGCCCCTGTTTCGCATCCAAGCGCTATGTCTCTGGCGCTCCTGTTTAAGTTTCGGCAGCCTGATATTATCTGACGCCTAGTGCATATTTTGACCGTCATAACAACCCTCGTTCAGCGAACGGGTGTTACAACTGAACGACTGTGTATTTTATTTCATTGTGGTACAAGTCCGCGGTGTACAGATTAGAATTTCGGAGTGTAGAACAAAAATTCAATGTTTCTGTAAGTGGTAGACGTGAGACAACCAGGGCAGATTGTTAAAAATTGACATACTAAAGGGCGAGAATTCGGGAACTACAAGATATTCAATGAGGTAAAAGTGAGTTAGGTAGAAACTCAGAATCGTGAATGCTAAATGGGACCGGCCATCATCCATTGATCAGGATGGAAAAAGAATTATCGGGGGCGGGGGATTAGCTTGAAGCTGCATGAATTCTACAACCGGGGGGGGTGATCGGGGGAGTCGATTTCCTGAGATGTTCCTAGTAGAGTTGACGAGATTTTGATGCAGGTTGGTAGGCTGGCGGAAAGGTCCCCACGCCACACTCGATCGAAAGCCCGTAAAACGTCGAAGTGAGCCACTATGATATCATAGAAATTATCGAAGATCGTGAGAAACAAACTTCAATAGGTTGCCGGTAGACAACTGGCGGTCGCCCATGTGGGTGTTCCGTTGAGCACCATACAACAGCTGTTTGACCAGGATTATTGGGCCGGAGGAATATCCATCCAGACTTGGGAACAGAACGATGAGTCCGCGATCCTTTGGAAAAACAGCGCCCCACCACTCTTCGTCTTTAATTTCTAGTACCAGGGCACTGTATTGAAGGTCGGACAAGAAAAAAAGGGGAACGAAACGTTGTTTTTCTGTCCAACACTACTTATGTGGTTGCTGAAAACTCCTCGGAAGCAACTGACCGTATCGATTGGCGAATCGCTAGGAGAGAGTCAGCTGATGAGGTGAGTAAAACAAGCCAATTCTCGATAAATTGGTTGGACGAAACTCGCGCGGATGGGAAAAGTCCCGGTCATCACCTCTGCTACGCCGGGATCACAGAGGTCTTCAATCGAATTGCTTCCGCCGATGCACACGTGAATCTTAGAAGCCATGATTAAGTGTCTCTTTTTTTGGTAATTCTAACGCTTTGTTGGAGTGCTCGACCGCGGATGCTAAAGAAACTGAACCAGTGTTTTTGTTTTCGTTTAGAGCCCGAAGGAACGACACGCATCGATCACGGTTGGAATGTTGGTAGTTAAGATGCCTTGTTAATCCGTCCGCCGAGCTTGGCAACTTGTTCGCTCGTTCCAATTCCTTGATTTCGTGGTTGAAATTCCATTTTCCCTCTCTCTCGCGCTCTCTTAAACAACTCAGATAATTTATCTGCCTAACCCTTCTTGTAAGGTTCTTGGAACAAAAAAATCATTCGCGTCATTATCACTTTTCCAAAGAGTTGAGCGAATTCGTTCGTGAACTGTCAGCAACCTCATGAGTAGTATGTTTTCACCTCGCCATGAATGGCATAATCACTCAAACTGCATCTGTCGTCTCTCTCTCTCTAGTGTGTTTCACCAGTGACAGAGGATGGGGAATCCAAACAGTGGATGGTTAGCCAGTCGTCCAACGAGATCGGCGAGGAAGTCAATGGTGAATCGAGTACCTCCGAACCAGATGAACGTCAGAACCAGAGGCTTTTACGTGGTTCAGTGGCATTTTGCAAATGCGGAAATGCTGAAACCCGCCGACGATGTCTGAGGTATTGTCGGGCTCGCCCCTGCTTTATTTAGTTTCGTTCTTCCCAAATCCTGTTTGGAGTGCTAATTCTGAATGCCGGTCTTTCAGTCTTTCTGAACACCTTTCGGATCACATCTCCAATATCATGCTGCGCAAACGATCCGGGGACTAAATTTTAGTTTCCACCATTTTGATATCCTGTATGACCGCCTTAACAATTTCTTTTGAAGCATAATTTGATAACATCTTTGGATTTCTAAGTATTCTTCTTGTCGAAACATGAAAGAATCCTGGTGTGACGCTTTTTCCATCCGCCCCAGACATGTCTGTACTGCTGACTGTCTTCACGAAGAAGGACACTGGTTCCTGCCGGCCACCCGGAAAAATTAATAGAGGTCCACAGCACTCCACGGCATGTGGGAGGCTCGCGACTCTGTCAGAAGAATCAGATTGCTAGATCAGACCGCCGTCTGATATAGCCTTTGATCGTGATAGCCATCAGATGTCACCTAGCAAATTTTCAGTGTGGTTTGAGGCCTCAGAAAACAAATTGTTTGGATATGAACGCCGTCCTGACTTAAGCTTGTACAGCGGCGGTGGCTTTTCTGTCATTGCATCTTGAAGGATAACTGATGATACTTCCCAAAAATATGTCCCTGTCCGTACAATGAAGTCCATGAGATGACTTCACCATGCGATCATCACGAAGCCATATCAAACTGTTCTGGGATTTCAAAGACATCCAGGAAGTAATTTCGGCATGTGTCGAAGCCATTTCTGAAGTGTCCCGCCGGCATTCCTCTTGTCTGTCGACGTGAAATCATTGTGCCCTAGGGGATGGATGATTCTCGAAGGCGCCGAACACCGTGCATTTCTTTTCGGAATCCGAGTCGCTTGCTGAGTTATTGTGGCATGGACGTACGCACATCCATGCGTCTTAAAATGAAGGCCCGATGCATTAGTGACCTCACTCGTCTTCTTTAAGTCATTTCGTGTCTGTGTGTGTTAGGTGTAAGCAGAAAGCAAGAACTCATTGCAGTTGCCAGTCCACTGTGATCGGATAGCCGACGCAAGCAAGGTTTGACCACGAAATTATAGCAGAGAACTAGCGAAATCCGCGTGACTTGATTGGTAATAGTGGATAATCGTTCACCTCTAATTCCATTTCGGTGCGTGGCTCCCATACCACTCCATGGGGGCACGAGGGCTGTGACATAGCCAGGTTACCCAAGCCTAGACAGGAATAGTCAAGATGCCGAAGTTGGGTTCGAACCACGGACCTTCCGGTCAGTGGGTCGCGCCTTCACCACTGAGCTATCTCGCGCCCATGTAGCTGCGACCTGACGAAGGCCGGTCAGTCGATCGACACAATGAGGACAGTTACTTAGTCAGCTGTGGAGACGGGGGCCAAACCAGTCGCTTCAGTCGAGCATGAACCGGTCCGTTTGGTCCGGCGTGAAAATTCAAATGCGTCTAGCGTGCTCCACGCATGTCAGATACACGGAGCTCATACCTCGGCACAACAGAAGGTGCTGATGAGCTCCCATGAGAACTATACTCAAGTCCAGTGCTTTCCCCGTTTCGTTTGACCGATCCAGACGAATTAGTCATGGACAGAACGAAGACTGTTCAAACAAGAGTGATGTGAACGTGAATTCTGACGAAGACTGTCTACTGGCCCTAATAGGGATTTCGCGCGTATCCTCGAAAATCATAAGTGTTTCATGGTCCTCCATCCTTGTTCCATCAGCTCACTATCAGATCACACTCGACTGGCAATTACAATGAGTTCTTTCTTTCGGCTTATCTGTGACACACACAGGTGGACTTGAAAATGACGAATGGGGTCACCGGATTTTAGATACGTGCGCATGTCAATGTATCCTGATAACTGAGCGAGCGACCTGAATTCCGAAACTAACTGCACGGTGCACACCTGAATATTCTAGTCCCTTACAGCACCTTAATCACACACCGACAGCCAAGAAAAGTGCCACTGGGCCCCCTTAGTCCCAGGTTGGCTTTGTGTGACATTGAGAGGAAAAGGTACAACGGTTTGCGTGGAAATTCCGCGGCATGTTACGTTGAATCGAGAAAAGAAGACGACTAAGATAGCGCGATTACATCTGTTGCGGCTCTGTGAGTTCTCTTCAGGCACATAAATGCGCGTTACACCGGAGGGCCAGATTGCGATATGTTCACTGAGAGAATTTGTCCTGCAAGTTAGTTAGTTAGTCATGGTTCCAGAGGTTGGCTGGCCTCAGGAGGATCATCATCGTCATCACCATCGTCATCATCATCATCATTTTGAGGGCGCAGTTCGACTTAATGAATCAGACTTCCGACAGTTTGGAACGTTTCTGTGTATGTGGCATTCATTTCCGGTTGCAAAATCGAGGACTATATATA